CCCCAAAACCCCAAAACCCCAAAACCCCAAAACCCCAAAACCCCTTACAACCACACTTAGGTTGAAAGAAGAGGAATTTATTTAGATATCTGTGCTTAGCAGTAAAACATCTTGATAGCTTCTTCAGTAAATTTCATATTGGTGTACAAGGATTCACGGTTTTTTCTAGACTCTTCTTTCAACTTACTGATCTTCTCTAAAACGGGATTGGCGATTTTCTTTCCTCCCTTAAATTTATTCCTGATACTTTTGGCAAATTCGATTGCTTTAGTTCTGGAGTTCTCCATCTTAGAATTGCTTCCGTTTAGAAGTTTATAAATTTCATGATGAGGTTCATCTCTATTGGTCTCACGCACAATATTTGAGAAAAACTTGACTTTTAAGGCAGTTTCGCTAGCTTTCTGGTGCCTGGAATCTCTGTTAGGGCCTAGACCTCCCATCCCTTGATAGCTTTGTTTACTCTGTATAAATTTAAGCTTATATCAGCCAGTTGCAGGTCTGGAAAGATACTAAAAGTCATCTTGAAATATCCCAAAAATGAAGAAATCTAAGAGGAGAACCCTGCTAATTCTTCAGGAATCTACCAGAGACATAATTTCTAAGGATTTAGACTTACTGTTTGATTTACATTCGAGTAGCTGTCCTGTATAGTGCTCTTTAAGGGAGAATTGTTGTACTTTCTAAACCAACCTGGTTGAGAATGAAAAGTTAACTCTCCCACTATTAATGTGTGAATTGTAAATAAGAAGCACTTAAAAGACTAGCATTATCTTTGTTAACTGTATAATATCTGATAAGCAGGCACTTATTAACAAATCATGTCCAAAATAGCACCATTTCTTAACACGCATCGGGCAAAGTGATAGGTTACCTTAATCTTTCGATAGTTTTGACGCTTTTATTCTGATTATTTCCTCTTCATTACAAACTTAAAAGTGCTTTTTCTTAATCTACTCTGAGAAACATAAATTTTACCCTGTATTATTAATCTTTTTAGGAAAAGCTGCATGAGTCTGGTGGGTATTGGAGATGGAGTTCTTCTGAGACTTGTTTTGCTTGTTATTATACCTATTCATGAGTAACACTCTTTGTGTAAGACATTTAAAACATTGAAAAGTTATCCAAATTACCCAATCCTAGTCCTTAAGGACTTCCCTTCGTTCTTTAAGCCCTGGCTATTCTTCATCTCTCGGGGATTTGTCTGCTTATGCTTCCTGTCAGAGTTGGAACGGTGAATATGAATGTTATCAACAGAAGTTGTCATTGCTATTTTGGAGGCTGGGTTCTCACTTTCGTGTCTACACAATCAGGCCAAGGGATTTACCTTTGAAGATTTAGCTTTGAATAGGGATTCTTCTTTGATTTGAGGGGTTTTCTTGCAGAATTTAATAAATTATCATTAGAATTCTGGGGTATGTCATTCTTATATGAACTCAAAATTTCGTAATCAAGAATATTCTCCTCAGTATTTGACCTCATGTGTTTTGGCTGCTGCACTTTTTCACGAAGTTGACCGAATTCATAAGGATGAGGTTTCCTTTGCATACTCATGTTTTTAAGCATCCTTTCATATGGTCTTTGAGTTGTAGCTTTCTTAAAGTGTTCCAGGATCGATACGTTAGTCTTGCTCAACTGGGGGAGAGAGTCTTCGCTATCGTTATCTAGGATTAGGACGTTGTTGCTTTTATCTTGAGTCTTACTATATCCAAAGAGTCCTGTATTAGCCTCTCGTCTCTATAAAATGTTATCAATTATACGAACGATTCCCTTCGGGAGGTCTTACCTTATTAGCCGGCAGGTTGTCTTCTTGTGAGCTCAAGTTATACTCATCTCTATCATTCAATTGCGAGAATGTTGACAGGTTCTTCTTCCGAGCTGAGCTTCTGTTTAAAGTCGAGTTATATGACTTATCCATATTTCTTAATTTTATTATAACTTTATTTCTTGCAATGATGAGTTTTTTCTAGGGGTTTTGGGGTTTTGGGGTTTTGGGGTTTTGGGGTTTTGGGGTTTTGGGG